ACCTTTATTGATTGGATTGTTTGGAATTTTATTATGGTTTAGAGTCACATTTCCCATTTCTGTGAGCAAACATGTTGTAATTTTGATGAGGACTGCATGGAATCTGTAGCTTGCTTTGATAATACATTATCAGAGTAGTGACTCTGCCAATCTATGCATAAGGAAGCTATTCACATTTCTGTTTCTTCTTCAGTTTTTCCCTTTGTGACTCAAAATGTTCATTCTTTCATTCTTCACTCCACAGAAAATTTTACTGTTGAGGCCTTTAACTCCCTTGGCTGTACTTAGTCCAAGGTATTTTGTTACTCATTTGGAAATCAATGCTAACTGGTGCATTTTCTTGAATTCTTTCTCCACATGAACCCTCTTGGTACAGGGGAAAGCTGCTGGGTCTTATTCGTTGATTTTATAAACTGATGCTTTTGTGAAAATATTATTTCTTAGAATTTCCTTGTGGAATCTCTGAGCTGTCTTATGTTGAGGATCATATCATGAACAAATACTGGTATTTTGACTTCTTCCTTTCCTATTTGTATCCCTTTTATTTCTTGCTCTTGTATTTTGCTATAGCTGTAAGGACTATATTCAATAGGTTAGGAGAAAGAGGACATTTCCATCCCCACTGACTTCAATGACATTGCTTTGATTTGTCTCCACTTAGGATGATGCTGGCTGTATGAATTCAGTCATCCCACGAGTAGTTCCTTCAGAGCTATGGTCATGAAGGATGGTTGGCCTTTCTCAAAGGGATTCTCTCCATCTCAGGTGATTGTGCCATTTCTATTCCTAAATACTTCATGTGATGTATCCCATGTAATGATTTGTATATATTGGACCATATGTATAATTGTAAAATATGTTGATATATTCTGAAATGCTTTCTATAATATAACTGACAGATTTTCTTTCCAAGTTGATCAGGAAGGTCACCCTATAATTTCTTTCCTTGTGTATGTCAGGACAATACCATCTTCATCAATGAATTTGGTAGCATCCTCTCCCCCATTTATGATTTCTGGAAAAATTGGAGTGGCTGTGTTCATTCTAGGGAGAATTCAGCATTGGACACACTTGGCCCAGCTTGTTGAAGTTAGAAGACATTTTATAGCTGTTTAATCTCACGGCTTACTGTAGAACTCTTTAAGTTGCCCATGGTTTCACTTTAAATTTTGTGGATCATAGTGTAGAATATTGTTCATTTCTTTTATATTTTCTAGTTTATTTGAGTGTAAGTTTTTAAGGTGTATCCTGAAGGTCCTCTGATTTTCATGTTTTATCCATATGTCTTCTCTTTCATCTATTCTATGTTTTTCTATTTTTTAATTTATATTAGAAACAAGCTAGTTTTACATGTCAATCCTAGTTCCCTCTCCCTCCGCTCCTCGCCTGCTCCCCAATGACCCCCATCCCATCCCCTTTCTGCTGCCCATGGAGGGTGAGGACTTCCATGGGGGATCTTAAAAGTCTGTTATATTCTTTGGAATAGGGCCTAGGCCCTCCAGTGTGTGTCTAGGCTGAGAGAGTATCCCTCTGTGAGGAATGGGCTCCTAAAGTCCATTCATATGCTAGGGAAAAATACTGATCTACTACCAGAGGCCTCATAGATTGCCAAGGCCTCCTGACACCCACTTTCAGGGGTTCTGAATCAGTCCTATGCTGGTTTACCTGCTATAAGTCTGGGGTCCATGAGCTCACCCTTGTTTAGGTCAGCTGTTTCTGTGGGATTCACCAGCCTGGTCTTGACCCCTTTGCTCATCACTCCTCCCTCTCTGCAACTGGATTCTAGGAGTTCAGTTCAGTTTAGCCGTGGGTGTCTGCTTCTGCTTCCATCAGCTCCTGTATGAAGGCTCTAGGATGGCATATAAGTATCATTACTGGGGAAGGGCACTTAAGGTCGCCTCTCTACTATTGCTTAGATTCTTAGTTGGTATCATCCTTGTAGATCTGGACATTTCCCTAGTGCCAGATTTCTCTTTAAACCTACAATAACTCCCTCTATTATGGTATCTCTTATCATGCTCTTCTCTATTCTTTCCCAGAATCAACCTTTCTGCTCCCTCATGTCCTCCTCTCCCCTCCTCTTCTCCCCTTCTCTTTCTCCTAGCTCCCTCTCCCCCCACCCTATTCTCCCAATTTGCTCAGAAGATCTTGTCCCTGTCCCCTTCTCTGGTGAACTATGTATGTCTCTCTTAGGGTCCTCCTTGTTTCCTAGATTATCTGGTGGTGTGGACTGTAGGCTGGTAATTCTTTGCTCTATGTCTAAAATCCATATATGAATGAGTATATACCATGTTTGTCTTTTGGTGACTGGTTTACCTCGCTCAGAATGGTTTCTTCTAGTTCCATCCATTTGCCTTTGAATTTCAAGATTCCATTGGGTTTTTTTCTTTCTGCTGAGAAGTACTCCATTGTGTAAATGTACCACATTTTCTTTATCCATTATTCAGTTGAGGGGCATCTAGGTTGCTTCCAGGTTCTGGCTATTACAAATAATGCTGCTATGAACATAGTTGAACAGATGTTCTTGTTGTATGAATGTGCATCTTTTGAGTATATGCTTAACAGTAGAATTGCTGGACTTTGTGGTAGACTGATTCCCATTTTCCTGAGGAATCTCCATACTGATTTCCAAAGTGGCTGTACAAGTTGGCACTCCCACCAGCAGTGAACTAGTGTTCCCCTTTCTCCACATCCTCTCCAGCATAAACAGTCTCTGGTGTTTTTGATTTTAGCCATTCTGAAAGGAGTAAGATGGTATCTCAGAGTTGTTTTGATTTGCATTTCCTTAATGGCTAAGGATGTTGAGCACTTTCTTAAGTGTATATCAGCCATTTTAGATTCCTCTATCGAGAATTCTCTATTTAGTTCTGTACCCCATTTTTTTATTGGATTATTTGGTGTTTTGGTGACTGGCTTCTTGAGTTCTTTGTAAATTTTGGAGATCAGCCCTCTGTCAGATGTGGGGTTGTTGAATATCTTTTCCTATTTTGCCAGCTTCCGTTTTGTCTTCTTGACTGTGTCCTTTGCCTTGCAGAAGCTTCTCAGTTTCAGGAGGTCCCAATTATTAATTTTCATATCAATGTCTGTGCTACTGGTGTTATGTTCAGGAAGCAGTCTCCTGTACCAATTCATTCAAGGGTACTTCC